GCTGGATCTGATTTCGCTGGATTGCCAAGGATAGTAGAAAAATCACAATCTGAGCTTTACGTTTTTATCTATTTGGCTGGCGTTTGCTATTTCTTGAGAGTGTGAAACAAAACTCTAGTGGCCAACCTTCCCAGTAGCAACCTCCACCATGGAAGCTGAATTTGTAGCATCTTATGAGGCATCCAATCAAGCTATTTGGTTGAGAAACCTTGTCACTGGGCTGCGTGTAGTAGGTGGAATAGAAAGACCACTGAAGTTGTATTGTGACAGCAGGTCAGTCGTTTTATTCTCCAACAACAACAGGAGCTCTTCTCGATCAAAACACATTGACATTAAGTTCTTGGCTACGAAGGAGAGGGTACAGAGTGGACAGATATCCTTAGAGCATATTGGAACAAACTCTATGATTGCGGATCCGCTTACAAAGGCAGTGATACCGAAAGTTTTTTTCCATGAGCACACCGCTCATATGGGTATCGTTTTGTTTGAGACTGTCTAGTTTTAGTGGGAGTCTGCTCTTTATGTATACATTATGGTTTTGAATGCTCTATTTTGTTTTGGATATGTTTTATCATGAAATTTTGTTGAGTACTCATTTTGGTTGATGGTTACACTCTGTATTATTATTATTGTTCACTCTGTATTATTATTGTTTTGCTTGATCTCACTTTTGTTGGTGACCAGTTGGAAACAAACATGATGATCACATTACATTTAGTTTTCATCCTACACTTCTATAATGAATCTGTGTCATTTAGGGGTATTGGTAAGGTAGTTGATGATGAACAGTCATGAGATCTATGGCGAATGTTTCTTCAGTTCTTTATCAATATAATTAATGGACGAGATTGTTTTTGGATACCTTGTATGACTGCGTTTGTTGAGCTCATTTTGGTGTATGTATTTTATTTAACATAATGTCGCCCAAGTGGGAGATTGTTGGATTTAATTTTCTATTGTGGGCTTAATATGTAAAATTAAATATGTACAGCAGTCTAATTATAAAGTCAATTTTAAATGCGGTCTTGATTGTGAATAATTGACTATTGAGGTATCAACTAATTATAGATATTAAGTGTAGAGACCATTATATAATTCCTATTTCTTTAAAGGACCGAAATAGGAATTGTACTAACGAAATAGGAATTGTACCTAACCCTAACAGGTATATAAAGGTCGTGGTACCCCAGAGGAAGTGATAATATACGATTCAGTTTTACCGTTCCCTTTCGTTACTGCTTCCGCAAAATCGATTTCTTCAATTCTCTGGAAGGGCTGCAAAACCCTAATTCCTCACATCAAGAATCGACGAACACGATGTCAGGTACGCAACCTTTTCTTATTCAATCTATTTTTGTTTGAATTCTAGTGGTGTGCATGATCTACAGGTTAACATTTGTTGAAATTATTTGAGATTAGATTCATAACATGGCTAACCTTGAGAATCTTTCAGAATAGCCCAAAGCTCAGCTCCAGAAGTGCAACCAAACCCCAGCCCGTAAAACCTCCCTCCAAAAGGGCCATGATAATCACAGAAAGGCCACCACGCCGTAACGAGAATGCTTACCTTAATCATGTGTAGCAGAAGTTTTTTTCTTTCCTTGTTTTGTAGGAACACATAAGTAAAAGCAGTTGTATTGGGTTTGTGCCTGTGAACGATGTCAGGTACGCAACCTTTTCTTATTCAATCTATTTTGTTGAATCTAGTGGTGTGCATGATCTAGGTTATTGTGAAATTATTTGAGATTAATTCATAACATGGCTAACTTGAGATCTTTCAGAATAGCCCAAAGCTCAGCTCAGAAGTGCAACCAAAACCCAGAGTAAAACCTCCCTTCCAAAGGCCATGATGATCACAGAAAGGCCACCGCCGTAACGAGAATGCTTACTTATCACATGTAGCAGAGTTTTCTTTCCTTGTTTTGTAGGAACTACATAAGTAAAAGCAGTTGTATTGGGTTTGTGCCCTGTGAAATGGGAGAAGTAAAAACCTTCTCAATATATTATTCACCAAGCGAAAAAAAGAATCCCAATAAATTGGCATGTCCAATTTAACTATTTCAAAATCAAAATTACAATATTCTTAAGTTTAAATATTAATTAACTCGTCTGAAATTGCGGGCTATGGTCTACCTTGTAGAAGAAAAAGATGATGATGGTGAAGAGATGAATGATTTCCAAATAGGAGCAAAGGAGAGAAGAGAAGAAGTCAAAGAGATGGCTAATTTGCTAGCCGTCAGAATTCTCAAACTATATTTCTCAAGTGGAAGAGATCATCATAAAAATTTGAAAAAAGCCCAGTTAGAAAAAACAATTTAGTGTTTAACCGAAAACAATTTGCTCTTTAAGAAAAAAAAAGAAAACCGGTCGTAGAGATTACTAAAATAAAAATAGGAAAGACGTATTTACAAATATACTAAATCAATCGCATATATTATTTTGGTTCAATCGAAAATATTTTTAACTATATATTGAGAAAACAAAATGAAATTATAACTGTTTTTTTAAGACGCTTTTTCTTTATTGATTTGGTATATAAGACCATCCACACACAAGTATTACAGGCAAACCTGATTTACCAAAACACATTAGAAATAACCAAAGCTATTAACCAATATCTCACAAAAAAATGAAATTTATGTGAAAAATTCTAAATTAATAATATATAAATAAGAAAATAATTATTTTTCTTTCTCGTATTGAAATTTTTCAAAAGAACAGCTAAGGTTGGAACTTTATAATTTTCAAAACTATGAAACTGACAATCAATCCATCGATCACTTAACTGTTTGGTCAAACAGGAAATAAACCTTAATTCGTAGTAAAAGTATTATATTCTTTTCCAAAAATATATATATATATATATTTAATAAAATAAAAAATATAATTAGAAGTTGAAATCATTCCTGGACATATGAAATTTTTTCTATTTGTGGTTTGACGTACATAATTAAGTACATAGATTTAATAACCTGTCTCCCTTGTCCAATCAAGGAAAACGGCACTAGAAAACGCCAAAGATGCTTTTGTTGAGGAGTTTTTTTGTTTTTTTTTCTCTCTTTTTACCCTTCCAAAGGAGAGATCCATCCGCACCCAGCAGCCAGCTCACATTCAGCATTATGGTGACAAATTGGTAAATGACAACTGCCTATGTTTCTTTTTGCTCTCCACGTAATCAGAATCTAGTAATTTTTGTAACTACTTTAGTTCATCCAATAATAGCAGTCAGATTCACTCAAAAATATATAAAATTTAAGTTACCCTCACTTGAGTGTTCATCAAATGCAATATAATCAATTATATCATTCTTGCACAAACTTAACTGTTTTAGTAGTTTTTAAGCGTTTTAAATAGCTCTTAGTAGTTTTTAAGCGTTTTAAATAGCTCTTTGAGTAACTTCTCATAAAATGTTAAAGGCTTTACACGCCTAACCTTTTATAAAATATCTAAAATACCATTAACAGATTCAATGCATAGGTGCAAATATTTACTTTACTTTACAGACTAATAGAAGAATCATCTGACTCGTCCAAATTGTGTTACAGTGAAAATTGTGTCAATCCAAGTTGGTCATTTAGTATGACTTTTTGACATTTTAGTCTTCTTTTACTTTGCGAATGAGCTATTTTTATTGTTTGAACTTCGTGACCTTTAGATCACAAATAAAATAGCTTTAGATGTGAGATAATATAATCAAATACATCTTTATTCATACTAATTTTTTTTCCTGAATCAAAATATATAAAACTTTAACATCATATACTATAAAGCCGAAACTGTAATGGTGGGATGGAGAATCCATTTTCCCATGAAACCATATATAGAAATGATAATTGAACCCAAAATTTAAGGATTGATCGCAAGAGTATAGTATAGTGTAGAGGTCAGAATTTAATCTGAAAAAGAATATATATATACACATAAGGGTTGTAATGTAATGTAAGGGACAAGCTGACCATTCTTTCTGGGATTGAAAACTTGTCTAGTGATTTTGTGCAGTTTTTATTTCCATAAGGAGAATATAAAACAGATGCTCCATTATTCAAATGTCTTTATCCTTTTGGACCTAGTTAGGTTCTCTTTCTCTGTCAAAAGGACTTAACTGTACATATATATTTATATATACTTTTTCATTTTTATTTGTAAAATATTTTTTAGATTACAACTTGTCATTTTAATTATAAGTCATAAGCCAATTTGTCCTCAACTGCTATAGCTTCATGTATGTAATTTTGTCACGTGCATGGTTCATCCATCCATTACCTCTTCAAAAATAGGTCAAACTTCTACTTATCATTAACTCTCCATATCTCTTTTCCACATTAAATGTGTTTTTGGAATTTTTCTTATTCCTAGTACTTGATTGGACATTTCATTGCTTTCCAAAAGGGGATTTTTTTTTTTTTCTAAGAAAAAATTCTCTTTAATTTTTCCTATGCACGTCTTGAACATGCTCTCCATCGTTTTCTAAAATTATTTTTTTAATTATTGTAATATCGTGTTACATAACTTATTTGTTTGGATTTATCAAAATTTTCGAAAAATACAAGAGCATTAATTTAAATTCTCAAAAAAATGTTGCTAAAGAAAAGAAACATTAGGATCATTAAATTACTGATTATAATTTGCTAGAAAAAAACACATTATTTAATAAAATTGGAAACATTGTTTAATATTTTAACTCATTTGGCCACTTGCACAGGGGAAAGGAAAAAGATATTTTTAACTTACGATCCATCACATATACAAGAAAATGGTACTGGGCCTTAACCAACTCATTATGCTAAAAAGAAATAGGTAGCTGAAAATCTTCAAGGTCCAAGTTTGGGCCATTGATACTTTTAGGGCTCTCTTTGGCCCAACTGACCATAGAAATTTTTCTTGGTTTTCTCCCTCTATTGGATCTACCTCGAATAGTACAACGAGGCCCACCATATGTTTTTATTCAGGTGACACGATGTCGTTTCTACAGCCAGTGACAGATACTCTATCCATATCCATTTTGCTTGCTCGATAATTGTTTTGTAGTAGTGTGGACAGTGTAGGCACAGCTCTAATCATCTTGCCCATGGCTGCAATTCTCTCCCTCTCTTCAAGTTCTCTGCTCAAAACGACACCCAGCCATCATCACCTATCTTCCTCTTTCAAGGGAAATTTGGCAACTTTGAAGTTAAAGACGTGCAATTTCACTCCTCTTAAACTGCATAGCAATACCAAACCAAAAGGAAGACCACAGCTAGTAGTCGTCAATCAAGCTACTGCTTCTGTTGCATCTCCAATATCAAATGCGAGATTCAGACTGGACAATTTAGGCCCACAACCGGGTTCGAGAAAGAGGGGAAAGAGAAAGGGAAGAGGTATCTCTGCTGGACAAGGTAACAGTTGTGGGTTCGGTATGAAAGGACAGAAATCGCGTTCTGGTCCTGGTGTTAGAAAAGGGTTTGAAGGTGGTCAGACGCCCCTTTATCGTCGTGTCCCGAAATTGCGAGGAATTGCTGGAGGTAATCGGCTCTTTTTGGGTATTTAATTATTATATCGTTTTTATTTAATGCCTTTTTTGTGTTTGATAAAACGCCAATTTGATAATTAGAAAATGAACTGGACTCCATAATTCGCCCCATTTAGTATTTTCTTGCATTTATCATGTATGCATTAAGTTTTAAGGAGATGTGTTAGTATATAATAAAAAGGTGAAACTTGACTAATTTAGCATTGGCTGTGAAGTGGCTGCTATAGCAAGGGAAAAGGAGTTATGAACAATTGCATTTATCGTGTATGAACAATTATTTGAAATTAGAAAAGAATATGTGCTGTAGTTTTCGTCTTCAGTTTTAGTGACTAGTGTTAATCCTACTATAGAATATAAAATTTCTGCTACATTTTTGCTTTTGGGGCCGAGTGTGCTTACCTCAAAATGCCATGTAAGAAGCACGTTAACAGATGACAGAATTTGATTAGCAGCAGATTGAAATTTTACTTGTCCGTATTAACTGAATCCTTATTGAATACATTAAGCCCAAGGGAGCATCTTATGTACTCTGCATATGTATATTGATCGTAATCTTGAAGTGTGTTATGAATAATGCTCAGTTATAACGTCTGCACTTTTCTTTCCTGAGTAATATACTTTAAGTATACTTAGAATTTCAATAAGAGTGTTGTACATGTTTTACAAAGAAGGGGATCTGACTCTTGCTAAGGACTCCTTTCATTCTTACTCTCAATCATCTTAGTAGCTAATTAAAATTAAAACATTTGCAGATGCAAGTATATCATATGGGAAGGTAGGAGGTGATAGTGGATCCATCTCCATAATTGGTTTAGAGAACCTGTTCTTGTAGTTTCTTTAGATGTTTCATTTTGAATTTTCATTTCAGTTGTGTAATTAGCTGTCATTAATAACAGCCTTACTCAACAAAGGTTTAATCTTCCTAGTTGGATGTCATGTTTTAGACTTCAAAGAGGGGTAGCATGAAAGCATGTCTTTGGACATCATTGGAATTTTATTGATGACTGGCAAGACTCTGTGATTGATAGTGTTATGCTAAATCATAAGTTGATTTCCTTTCCACCCAGATTGATTCGGTTGTAATCTTTTATTTATGGCTCCTCTTTGGATTTGATGATAACACATGTTTCTTGATCTTGATAGTTGATATCATTGAAATTGACATAAAGATTGAACTAGATATGAATTTACTTAAGAGTGACATTGGAATGATTGGAATTTCAAAATTTTTCCCTGACATCGGATGTCTATGTTTCTACTTTCTATTTTGTTTTGACATGGAAAGAATCTGGTCATAAAATGAATGGGAATTATGGATAAGCATGCAGAGGTCTTCCTTGTGCATACTCTTAGATTTGTACTGACATGCTGCTATTACTTTTCTTTATGAAGGTATGCACGCCGGTTTACCTAAATATGTTCCTGTTAACTTAAAAGACATAGAAGCAGCAGGGTTTCAAGAGGGGGAAGAGGTGTCATTGGAGACATTGAAAGAGAGGGGCTTGATCAACCCATCCGGAAGAGAAAGGAGACTTCCTTTGAAGGTATGCTTGTTCTCTATTTGTGAATGAAAGCTTCAGAAGTTATATATGAATTTTCGCATCTAATTGCTTATTTTCATATTTGACATCGCCATTTCCTCATTTGAACAAAATATCTCTTTCACAGGAAGGCTTAAGATCTTTAAACCTTGTTCAATAGTTATATATGGAGCTGCATGTTTATGATGTCTAATTATTTTGTCCTATCTGTATAAGCCATAGGATTCGTGTCTGATGTTCTTTACTATTCTATCAATATGTAATATCTGAAAAGGAAGCATTTGAACTATCAATTTCACTAATATATTCTCTGTCCATTGGGAATAGCAAAATTGTTATTAAGGTTCTAGATGGACTTACAATGTCAAATTTCACAGCTAATTCTCCCCTTCAACTTTTCATAAAATAAAAGCCCTCCAATCAATGGGATAAAAATTCCTCATATTATCGTGTTTAACCAAAGTAGAACAAAGGCCCTTCATTCACCGACCTCGAGTTTCAGCGAGTTTTAGTGAATGTACTCTTATCAGCATTTTAAGAAAAGGTTTTAGGCCATTCTCTCTACTTGAGCAATTGGTAATTGTATATTTGTAAGTACAGTGATACCCAGACCGGATGACTTCTAGCCCAAGTCCTACTGCCACTCTGGAGACAATTGAATTAGCTAAGCATCAAGGCTGTAAAAAGATTGTATTTCTCATTGTTTCCACTCTTCAAATACTATTCTGAAATTCTAAATGCAAATAACCCCACAAAAAGGTGGTTATGTACAAATCTTAGTTGCAATGGATTTTGCCTGGACTCCTTTCTGTAGATTTAGAAAAGACAACTACATGATGGTCAAAATTGCATGTGAGAAGTATTAAAATTTTGTGTTTCAGATGTTATTTTTGGTTCTGCTCTTCATTGTCTTCTGAATTTAGATTCTAGGCGATGGAGAGTTAAGCGTGAAGCTGAATTTTAAGGCTCGTGCCTTTTCAACGTCAGCCAAGGAGAAGCTTGAGGCTGCTGGTTGCTCGCTTACTGTATTACCTGGCCGTAAGAAGTGGGTGAAACCATCAGTTGCTAAGAACCTTGCTCGAGCAGAGGAATACTTTGCAAAGAAAAAAGCAGCTGCCGAGTCTGAGCCCGTCTCTGCTTGAACCATTTGTCATTAAAGTTTTATGCTTTTAAGGAGGCATAGAATAGCACGTGAAGATATCCAGCAGGGTGATTCTTTTTTTTTCCCCCCTTTTTGGGTTAGATTTCTTAGGTGTCCCAGTCTGTAATATCTTCCATTTGTATCTGCTTTCCATTAAAAGCCCTTCTGTAATTTGATTTTGATTTTAAATTTCATAGTACCTCTCTTCCCTAACCAATTTTTCTCTAATCATGATGATTTCAATAATGAAAGAAAAGGAGCTATGAGAATGAAGGGAATAGGGAAAAGCAGGAAAATTTTGAAAGACATGGCCTTTAGAGCAAATCTCTTCATCATAAGTGGAGCCATGGGGAAAAGCCAAACAACTTTACATATGCCTCCCACTTTCAATTTGGCAATTGGGAATTTCGGATGGTCCAAAATTTTTGGCATCACAAAATAGGAATCTCAAAAATTAGATGATTTTACATTAGTCAATATTACTTGATGATCAATTCAAAGTTGTGGTCACATCAAACTTTGCTTATTTTATTCTGCCATTGATTCTTTCGATTAGGACACGAAATTGCATATGCATATATTAGACCCAAAAAATTTTGATTCATGACGCAATAACTTTAGATTTGATCAAATGGGTCACGCCTCTATGGGTTTAGTGGGAGCATTTTGGAATTTGTTCCCTCTTTTGACAAAGAATCAATCCATTGAAGTCTCGTTATTTAGAGATAAAGTAAAAAAAGCATAGTGGGTCACACCAACCTAAATAGTTGTTCTTCTTTCTGTCTTTCACAAAATTGCAAGACCTAACTTTAGCAGCCTCAGCTAACTTTATTTATTGGGGTTATGAAAGACACATACACTCAATACAAAGTTAATCAACTTGATTTTTTATTTTTTTGTAATTTTATATATCAGCATTTGAAAAAGACCCTTAACTTGAAAATACCATGATACTTATGCTTCATAGCCATATAATCTTGGAAGTAGATATTGATTATGTTAATCACGACACGTGGCCGAAGAAAATTAGGTCAAATGTTAAATGGTCAGTGCCGGAAACAGCATCAACCTAAGAGGTCAATGGCGTTTTCTATTTGTCTCTTTTCTTAAAAATTTAGGGACTTAATAGCAATTATGGTTATTCCAGCCTAGGCTGGAATTGGACTTGTAATGGAAAGATGTGAGAAAGTGGGAAAATCCAATACAAGTTAAAATTACATGAAAGTGATTATATTAGTTGTGTTTCCATCTAATTCACCAAAGAAATGACCAATATTTTTGAACCAGTCAAATGTAGAACTAACTTCTTCCGTGTTGAGAAGAATTGTGATTAGGATTCGATCTTCGACGCCTCTTCTTTTTTTTTTTAGAAACAGGATTGTAATTTCTTGTCAAACTGTATACTTTTTGAAAACGAACTTGTGTTCTTATCTTTATAGGTATTGATACCATTTACCATCTTAATGAATAGGTTAGTAATTTTATCAATTAGAGTTTAATGTACATTAATGGTTATTCTAGGTATGACCATGGTTCTAGAACTGCCGGTTTCGATTAAAGGTGAAATCAAAATTGAACTGTATTTAGACCGTTTATAAAACGGTTTTGGAACTGCTAGGTTAGGTTTCCTTCCGATTTAGAATTGAAATTAGATAATTTATTTCAAGTTGTTTAAATTTTTTTTTTTTTTAGATTTGTAGCTTGAATAAATAATAATAATAAATATTACTATTGAAAACACTAAACCAATTAATAAAAAAATTAAACTTTATAATAAAATAAAAAAAACAAACTGAAATTTTCTTTTAAAATATTTTTTCACGGTTTCAAATTGAAACCACCGGTTTCGGTTTCAAAAAATAAAGAATTGAAAATCAAATCTTTAAATATACTGTCTTTCTTATGGTTTAAAATCAAAAACCGTTGACCACGGTTTAATACTGAGTTTGACCGATTCAGTTATGATTCAGATCCAGTTTTAAATCCAACCATGTTGATGCCTGAGCTATTCTACTGCTATAATGCAAGAGCATATTCAAAATTTGTTGATCCGACCTAGGTAAATTAAAGTAGATGACAAACCATTTATAGAACATATCATCAAAACGAAGTTTAATTAACCTGTTAATGGTTAATTAGGAAAGGAAATAATTGGCTGCTTATTTCCTACCTATATATTTATTTTTCTGACTCGCCAATCACCTACTATATTGTGTTGACGCGAAGCAAAGCAAAATAAGTCGGTCAAGCACATGAAATTCGGAAAACAATTAAAATAAAATATTAAATTCTTTTTTGGTTAGGAAATTGATTTAACTTGGTCTTAACGATTTAAGAAATCAAAAGAAAAATAAAAATTTTTCTAATTATTATAAAATTATTAATTGTACTACATTGTCTTTAAGATTCTAGTAAACCATGAGATTTTCTTGTAGTTGATTTGAATAATTCAACCCAATCTATGACTATTTACGTTATGGTCAATTCAAATTTTACCCTTATTTTTAATATCTCCACTAAAGAAGCATTAATTATTTAGAAAGGTTTTTTTTTTTTTTTTGAGAATAATTAATTATTCAGAAAGTTGAGAATAATTTAGTTAATTAAAATTATTTTTTAAATATGTTTAAATATTATCTAATTATAAGTATGGTGATTATAACGAAATATCAAAATCTCAACCAAATATATTCTTTAGAGCAATAAACTTTTGCATTAGCATTAAATTTATGTATAGGAGAACAAACAAGGCTTTAAAAAGAGTTGGACAAATAGTAAAGCATTGGAGACAAACATTTATTAAAAAAAAAATAAAAAAATAAAAAACAATCTTGACGGAGATTTTGTTGAGCAAAAATGGTTGGTCCAAAATCCGAATCAATTGGCAGTTCGATATAGCAGCGGGACGTGGTACAATAAAGAAGAGAGCATCAAATCAAATCAAAGGACAGAATGGGCTTTTAATAATTATAATAATAATAATTAGTATTATTATTATAATAAGGGAAATGCTCCACTTGATGTGATGAAACGTGGCCAATTTGTACTTTCATTACTGAAATGGTAATCTTGACACCTTAAAACATGGCTTCTTTGTTTCTTGGAACGATGCCCTCCACGTGATTATTAATTTAAATTTTTATAATTTTATGAAAAATAAAATATCATTTTTATATGGTTGGGATATAATTATCAGAACTGTTTGAATGGTAATAACGACCCATAAGCGGAACAGAAACCGAAAGAAAAATAGCATCCTAGTCAACTCCACCTCCACAGTTTCCCCTCAATCTTTATCATATTATTTTACTTATTTTTCTTTATTATTATCTATTTTTTATATAAAAAATAAAATTAAAAAATTATCTAAATCATCTAAATCACTTAGATCCGCATGAATTTGAGTTAAAATTAATTAGAATTAAAATCGCTCCCATTGATAAATTTGAACGGATTTTAATTTGAAATATATCTATTTAATATTACATGATCAAGTAACTGTAACACAAAATAAGTTTAATAATATTTAAAATGATATTTGAAAGTTCCAGTTAATCGTTTAATATTATTTGCAACCATATATCAAAGTTCATTTTCATAGAATCTTACCTTCAATTAATGATTATAGCATACAATTCCAATTGAAAAGTGATAGAGATAAAACTAAAAAAAAATACTCAAGAAATTAGTGTATTGCTCTTAATTTGGAAATCAGATAATCTATCCATATTCTCATATAATTATTTATAATACCACTCAAAATATAACTGACTGTTTATATTTATGGTAAGAATCTGAATTGACTGAGTAAGAATCTTAATAATTAATGGTTTTTAAATGATTTCGTTGACTGAACGTTATTTTATTTAAACGTATTTAGACGATGCTTGGCTTTTAGTTAACCGCTCAGTTCAGTTACTTCAATTTATTCGGCCATCTTAATCTGCTTGGTGCATATCAATAATCTATTCCTATCACAAAGTAAAAACGCAAGTCTACTAGAGGACTGAGGGTATAATTTCTTAATTTCTAACTTCTAGATTTAAAAAAAAAAAAAAAAAAAAAAAAATTGACTGAGTAAAGAATCTTAATAATTAATGGTTTTAAATTGATTTCGTTGACTGAACGTTATTTATTTAAACGTATTTAGACGATGCTTGGCTTTTTAGTTTAACCCGCTTCAGTTTCAAGTTACCTTCATTTATTCGGCCATCTTAATCTGCTTGTGCATATCAATAATCTATTCCTATCACAAAAGTAAAAACGCAAGTCTACTAGAGGACTGAGGGTATAAATTTCTTAATTTCTAACTTCTTAGATTTAAAAAAAAAAAAAAAAAAAAAAAAAAAAAAATTGTGAGAGAGAGAACCGTATTAACTATCTATTTACATTAGGTGTGGTGGGACTTACCATACCGTCAAAATTGTTATTTGTTCCAATGAAACTTTGTTGACAACGACATCGTTCAATACCGAGCAGTGCCTAAGGCTCTGAGCCATAAAAAAGCAAGTAATAGAGCATTTTGTGATGGTAATTTTATGTCTTTAAGTACTAGTGTTAAACTGTCACTTTCCGTTTTTAAATTTATCAAAATTTTCTTCCACTTCTTTTTTTTTTTTTTTCTTTTCTTAAAATTTATTTTAGGGTTTTAAGTATTCATACAATAAATACTACCCGTTTTAGAGAAACGATAGATTTTTCTTTTTTTAGAAGGAAAAGAATAACTTTTATTAAGGCATAGAAGCTAAATCAGCTAAAACGAAAATACTGATAATAGGAGGCACCTCAACTGTGGAAGCATCGACATTTAATTTGACTGGAGCATCATCTGGAAGAACCCATCGGCTGGTGTTGTGTCGCCCTCCATCCAAGTGTGCGAGTTTGCCGTTTGATAGTCATGGAGACACAGCAGAGCCATATTAATGATCTGTTCCTCTGAAAATTTGAGTTGCTGGAACTTACACATATTTATAGTTTTCCATATGGCCGATGAGATCATAAAAAAAAAAAAGTTGTAATCACATACAGTAATTGTATGAAAGATTTTGAAATTAAATAGAAGAAATCATAGATTTTTTAAAAAATTTCAAAATCTTTCATACAATCATTTGAAAAAATTCATGAAATTATTCGCCAAGCACTATTTAGGAAATTTAACTATAAAATTTAGAGTTTAATTTCTATACTAGAAGATAGAATCTTAATTTTCTGGACTTCACATCTTTTTAGAATTTTAAAGCAAATTATTTTTGCAAGTATTTATTTATTTGGTGACACCAGTATGTAATATACACGACTGACAACGTTAGAATCAAGATTTCATACTTCATAGTTGTAGAACAATCAAAACAAATAAATTGCAGCGAAAATTCGATTTTGGCGAGATTAAAACCCCTATACAAATGATCTATATGATAGTAAATATAAATGGCTAAATCACCATTTTGGCAAGTCACTCCAAGAACACAGTTTCACTCAAAATTCTTACGATTCCACGAAAAGGGAGAGAATAAATATAAAGAAAAGTAACCAACTTCCAAAAATAATAAAATTAAAAAGAAATTCCTAAATTCTTAATGAAAAGGAAAATACTTGAGGCCAAGTATGATTTTAAAATTGGAAGTGTAAAACTTCTTGATAGGTGTCATTTAGTAATGTTTTTTTTTTTTTCATAGGTGAATAAGTTGTACTTCAAATGCTAGGTAAGGCATATATAAGATTAATGGATAATCTCTAATAGGTTAGAATTACAAATAAAGCGAGACAATTTCAAATTTCGAAATAAAATCAGTATTGCATTTAGAATATGATATAAAGATACAATTAAAATAAGATATAAAAATATTCAAAGAGACAAACATAAAGGACGAGTAATCCTCTAATCCTTATTCATTAATAATTTTCATATAATGTTTCGTGTTTTAACTAAGGTTAAAACACTGGCTCTGTTATTTATATTATTTGATCTTTATACTAATATTTATAATTTGTGCGAGTGGATTATAAAACATTATTTTTATATTTTATGAAATGTAGTTAAATAACTGATAGCTAATAGAACATTGTCAATAACTATCAAAATAATTAATTTTACTAAACAAGACTTAAATCCAAAATTTTTTAAAATTGTAAAATTATATTTTGGCTTTTTTTTAAGTTGTGAGCGTAGAGTTTAGGAATATCATTACAGGAAAAAAAATGAAAAAAATAAATCTTAATAAAAAAGATTTAGTAGATTCTTCTAATAAAGAAAAGAAAATATTTTAAAATCTAAAGTAGAGATATTTTTGCTGAAATTGATCCTATTCCTATGCTTCCATGCTTCATGTGCAGTGCCTGAGCTTTTCAAAATAAATAAATAAGTTAAAAAAAATCTTCCTTTAATAAAAAATCAAGGCTAAAACCGGTGTCATGCCGACCACATCCCCAAACGTTAACCAGATCTTAGTTTCCACGTTTCGGTAACAGGTAGCTCTGTTCACATCTTTTCTGTGTAAAAGATATTTAATTTATATATTCATTCTTAAATATTTTTTTTAAAATTAAAGGATGCATAAATCGATGTGATTTCGCGGGTGGCACCGCCTGCGTGACAAAATAAAATATTATTAAAAATTAATTAAATGCAAAGAGAGAAATATTAATATAAAATTAAAAAAAAAAAAGAAATAGACAGGGACAGAGAGAAAGAAAGCAGTTGTTGGTGGTCCCGTTCTGTGGAGCTCTTCCTCTTTGCTTCTCTCTCTCACTGTTTATTAGTATTTTATTATTTAAATAATTAAATATTTTCCTTCTGTCTTTCTGGCTGTGCTGTTGCCCAATACCCAAACGACTTTTCTCTCTCTAATTTTTCCACCTTTTCTTTTCCTTGGTTCCTCTCTCTCTTCTTTAAATTTCCTCTATCTATATGTCTACAAAACCAAACGGGACCGTCTCTGTCCCTTCTTCGTTCTCCTAACTTCCGCTTCTGCTCCTTTCTTCTCCGTCTCTGCTTATAGTAATAATAAAAATAATATATAGCTAACTAGAATTGAAGCGAGAGAACTGTACAGTTGAGCATATAAGGTATATTAGCTCTCCCTTTCTTCTTCTTCATCTCTTTTTATAATTTTCTTTTTAAGTTTCTGGTTCTTCAATTCGTTTTAGATCTATCCTCGCTAGCTATTTTGGGAAGAATTTTTAGCAGATCGCGGTTTTTTTGGTCATAGTAAACCGAAATTTCTGCTTTTTTTTTTTCTTTAAAAAAATAAGGAAAAACACGTTTGCTTTGGAAAAATAAATTTTTTTTTCCAAAAAAAATTGGAGCTAAGATGTCAAACATGTCAAGCTGGCAAATAATTAACTTGGAGCTCTTTTTCTTTTTTTGTTTTTGGTAAATTTATTAAGTCTCTTTTGACTGGATCTTGATGTTTAACTGTTCACACGCGTTAGATCTGTTATAATGACCTCCAAAGCTAAATTTTTTATGCTTTTTTACAGGTTTTCTAAAGAAAATTAAAAAAAAAAAAAGAAAAATGAATCAGTGTGCGATCCAACCAACTGCTTTCTCCACCCGCGAAGAGATTCGGAGCTCCGTTATGGTTCCCATCTCGGAACGAAGAGATACGGTTGTTTGTCCCAAACCGAGACGTCTCGGTCCTTTCAACGCCACCGCTCACGAGCACCCGGTTCGGTCTCTCAGATGGCATCTCAGGTAATTTTCTTTTCTATCTTTTTTAAAATTCTAGACCTTATTTTTTTGTTTTAGAATTGAATTTTTTTTTACCTCTCCAAACTCATAAAATTCATTGGAATTTCAGCCACCAAGCAGAACTCGGTGATTCAAAGGCCGGAGCTGATCTTTTGGATATCATCCTCACTAAGGTATTTTTGTCCCGTTCTATATATAATTTGTTTACTTATTTGTTTTGTTAGGTCATTTGATATATAATTTTAAAAAAAGTTAATCGATTTAAATTATTGTGGCGATGGAAAATTCTGCGTGTGGTCCCTATAACAATGGCGATTTTTCAATAGGAAGCAAAAAAAAAAAAAAAAAAACACTTAGGGTACCATACATGAACTCGTGGTTCATTAATCTCGTGTACTTTCATTGTCATGAGTTCTCCTACGCGTCAAAATTATTTCTGGAATAAGTTTGATAAAGATCTGTTTGATAAAGATATGTTTTATCTGATTATGCATAAACTGGTTTTATCTTCTAAAAGATTTATTTGATGGGTAAGTTAACTGTGTTACAATAATACAACACAAGGATTAAGTTTTAGGCCTGAGCAAGTTTGGTTCATTTTTTATAGATCGGTTTTGTTCTATTCTGCCTGTTTTTGTTAATTAACTTCGTTACTGGGTAAATATTTGCAGGGTGGTTATGGTGTAGAACAATCATGTACACAAGTAGCCTCGTCGCCCCCCTTTTTTTGTGGGTCACCGCCGAGCAGAGTAGCTAACCCATTGATTCAAGATGCTCGATTTGGGGATGAGAAACTTTCCCCTGTCTCGCCGCTTATGCCCATGCCAATTCAGCCTCCATCAGGTTCATCACCATCTCCATCTTCCTCTTCAAGGAAAGGAGGGTGTGTTAGGGCAAATTTTGGAAACAAACCTGCGGTGAGAATCGAGGGGTTTGATTGCCTTGACAGGGATCGCAGGAATTGTAGCATCCCTGCTTTGGCTTAGGAACCCTGTTTTCAACTATACAAGAAAAGTACATAATTAAAGAGGAGCTAAACAAACAGTCAACTTTGGTAGTGAGAGGAATTTTGAAATTCTCATGAGATTGAAAAGTCAAAAAATGGGGGATCTTTTGTTAGTGTAAATATGTTTAAAGGTTCTCTTGTATCTAATGATGTTTCTGTCTTTGTAAGTCAAATCAGTGTTTGTTAACAAAAATAATGGAGAGGGTTAATAGTAGAATTTTGTGATTAGGGAAATATCAAGAGGAGAATATGGATTAGGTTTTGAGAAGGGAAGACAAAGCAATCAATCTCTTCCCCTCACTCCATCCTCTGTTCTTATTGTAAGTAATGAGAGTGTCAGGTGATGAGAATGTGAAAATTTTTTCATGTTTTGTCCTTTTTTTGAGTCCTGAAATTCAAATGAGCGGCTTATGAAGGGAAAATTTGTACAATTGTCGATTGAGTCTTTGAAGTAGGGTGTCATTTACAATGTAAATAAACTCTTTTTTTTTTCTCTTTTAAATGGAATGATTCTGTTTTCTTTTTCGTCCATATATCATGATCTGTCTTCACTTTTTGAATTAGAACCTGAAAAAGCAAATGATATCTGAGTCATTTGATGATGTTACTGTTATTCGCTTGTGAATCACGCAAATCTTAAAAAGAAAATGGGCCCTGTTCAAGCAGAATTTGTTGTCAATGGTTCTCTGCTTCTGTATCTTTGATGATGAACGCAAAGATCTTTGCTTTGTCAAACAGCATCTGAATGGCATGAAAAAAAGATTTAAAGCAGTGCGCATGATAATCTCTCTTTCTTTCTTCACATGATTGCATTTTTCTTTTCAGCAAGTTTTCTGCTACAATTGTCTTTTGCCATGGGAGCTGTAGTTTAGGCCTCTTAAAGTGTTTTAGTTTGGGTAACACTTTTTATGGTTTGGTAGACTTTAACTGCAATTGGTATTTTGTTCAGGTTATTTAGATAATTTTCAAATCATCTGGTCCGTTCAGTTTTAGGTTTGATTTAGTTTTAATGGAGTAGGGAGTATCAGAAACAAGTAAATAGCAGCAAATTAACAAAGAAGATGATTTGGTAACCCAAAACTCAAATTGAGAAGGCGCATGAAAAGGTTGACCCTCAGCATTTTCAACTTGATGATCAAACATACAAGTTGGATTTTGGACGTATATGATGACTTGGGCAAATACTGTAGATGTGGATTCCCTTGGAGGGGGAATCTTAATTAGCCGCCTAAGCATTACCGATTCGGCGTCTTTTGTGCCGGAGGATATTTACTATGTTAATAGTCTGACAAGCGAGTAACAGATGTTTGGTATCATTTCTATTTTTTATTTTTTATTTTCTATTTTTTGGTAGTTTGTGGTCAGTAACTAGGGGTGTCATTGGACCAGCTTACCGCTTACGTATTTCTTGTCCAAACGATATTAAGCGCGTCTCTTTTCTAGTCTTAAGTTTTAAAATCTTTGTTTTTTAGTGATTGTTTGAATTGGCGGAATGTTCACAAAATAAATTTTGCAAAATTTTCATGAATTTCAAATTTAGTTAGAAAAAGAAAATCAATGAATTTGAAAGGATTTTCGGGATGAAATTATTTGGATTAAATTCATCATTAATTACAAAAGGAACGAAAGTGAAAAAGATACTGACTACAAAGTACTCCTTCCGTTTCGAAAGGCTTGTTACATTTGAACATTTTACGTGTTTTAAAAAAATCACTCAATTTATCTAAGTTGTAATAAATCATTGAGTGATTGATTATACCATTAGTAATGTTCAAAAACCAAATTTAAATTTTCATTAATTGTAGTTGGTCAAGTGTAAGATGAAGCACATGTGGTATGTATGTAAGTGAATATGGATAATGTGAGCTTGTACTGATTCACTTTCGAGCTGTCGAATAACGATTACTCCATCTATTAAGAAAGGGCACAAGAGACATGTTTATTGTAAAGTTTTAAAGAGGGTACCGAAATCAACGCAAGTATGCAACCAAAGAATACCTAAGTACGTGAGCAATATACAAATAGTAAAAATAAAAAAATAATTTATTATTTGTTAACAATTATGACAAGTATTTGAAAATAGCAATTTCTCAAATATAATATTCTCTCCGTCTTAAAATATAAATTATTTTTGAGCGATTATTTTATCTCAAAATAGAAGTCATTTTGAGTATTTTAAGGAGTAATAAATGATATTTTTTCAATATTATCTTAATTTACTTTAGATACAATAAATACTTTTACAATTAAATATTAGTTTTGAGATAATTTGGATAAATTAATTACTTTCTTAATCATTGTGCAGAAACTTTAAACGACTTATATTTTGAAACAGATGAAGTAAATATTTAAGAATAAAACTCTATGAAAAAATGAAATTAAGGTCACGATTACTCGTTTAGTTTTATAGATCCAGATGAAGGAATTTGATGAATTCAAAGCAATTTAATCCAAATTTCATTTTCTAAATTTCATCAATTCAAATCACTTTGAGATGTTGAAACAATAAAAAATTAGTCTTATTTTTAATAATCTATTTTTGTATTGGATAATGGTTGTTGATTCAAATTGATATAGGATGATTGAGTATAAAATGTCTAGTTTATCTTCATATAGCCATGCAAAATGTCATTATGTGCACACTAAAATTGATAGATTTTAGACAGATCTAAAATTTAAATTTCAAATACGTATCTCTTTTCATTAATTAACCTTAGACAAAATAGTAAGTGGTTTACATTCCGCAATGCACATTAAATATAAAATTTTGTTAAATGAACCGATGATTTAATAGCACAATCTACTACTCATATAACTTAAATGATTTAGATAAAAATAATGGTGTCATGTTCCTTTCATAATAAATTTTTATATATTTTAATTTTGTATGACAAATAATACAAATGTGTTATTTCAATTAGGATTCATGAATAGCTATATCGAATGTTATATATTAGTTGTTTGAGTCAAAGTTGACGAGAGTTCTTTGTTGGATAGTAGAAGACTAAGTTTCTTGCCTATGAATACATGGCTTGGTCTTGGGATCAATTTATATGTTTGTCATTTTTATAAAATGCAGAGAAAATTCTTTATAATCTTTTCTACTATTGGCTCAAGACAATGACATGATATTGAATTGGTCTAGGAGGTTTTGGAAAAACATTTAATGCATTAACGACGGCCATTAACATTAATCTTTTTTTCTTATAGCATTAATAATGATGACTTTACTTTTTTTTCAAAACTTATTCACTTTTCCTCCAATTTATCCCTTCAAAATTACTCAAGGATATAAATGTCTTTTTAGATGGTATGATCCAGGATCATTGTAAGGCATTTAGCACACCCGTTTCTATTTTAACACATCAAACAACAAAATAAAGAAGTTAAACAATAAATATATCTCTCAATTTTGAAAAAAAAAAAACCCAAAAATAAGGAACAAATTTTATCGGTGGGTAATTATCTTTCTAATTTTCTAATATGTTGTAGACATTATTTTTTATTCTATTTTAATTTTATTATTAAAAAAAAATATTATGCATTCTGGTGAAAAAAAAAAAAATGTCAATAAATGTGGCTGGTATTATTCCCTCAATTAAGCCTCGAGCCTTTGAGGTGATAAAACGGAGCTATTAGACGATGACGCCAACGGTAACATTAGAATTTAATAGCTGCTGCAACTTGCACCCAATCAAGTTAATTTATGGATAACGTTTTTCTTTATGGCCTTTTTCTCTCTTGTGTAATGTTTTATTCGTCTTAGTTTGAATATAATGAACTAGTTACTGTCTTTATAAATATAAGCGTTTTAAGATAATTTTTTTTCTATAATATAAATTACTTTGAGAATAGTATGTACTAATTAAATATTTCATTTTTTTGATTTTATTTGCTTATTATTTTTTTTAATATTTCAAAATATTTACAAGATTTATAAATTTATATATGTGAACAATTATTTTTTTTCTACGATAGTATTTACGATCGCTCGTTAAACGAGAGGTTTTTATTAATATTTTAATGAGTTAAGGGTAAAAAAAAAAGTGAAATAACTTTTGTTGACTAAATTCTTAATATGCTTGTTTTGTCAAACCATGTAAATAAAATAGGACGAAATGAGTATATTTTTAAAATTTTTTTATTATTTATATTAATTTTGATAATTATTTCTATGATTTTAAAGTTTAATTTAATTAGATTAACATTTTTTATGATTAAGAAAAATTAATTAACATTTGTGAAAGTAAGAAGCAATTTATTTTTTTTAGTTATATTTTATTTTAAAAATCTATATTATATATTATCTTCATTGAAAATTTATTTATTTTTGATACTAAGCTAATATACTGTTCTTTAGAGAAAATTCTTTCTTTTGAATAGTATTTATTTAAAAAAAAACTGTTCTACAAGATGTAAAAATACTAACCAGACATACATCATTAACTTGAAAATTTATTTATAATTATACTTTTTAGGGAAAATTAATAATATACTTATAGTATGTATTTTATTCATAATTTAAATTAAAAAATGACTTTTCATATTTTTTCCCTCTCTTTAGGAAATCTATAATCAAATCTCACTATTTTCCTATGTTCTCGAAATTGTAAGAACCAAGAACGAAATAACAAGCAAACCTAACAATCTACAATCTCCAGATATATTATAACGGTGCGTCGAAAGTGCGAAGCCGCACTATGCTTGTGGCGGTCCACTAATGTTTTCAATTTGCGTTTCAAATCCCAACGTGACTTTTTACGTCTCTAACCGTTGGGCATCTAGGAGCGTGTAACTTTATCCTTGCAGCTGCAGGCAAATTGAAAATATCTAGTTTACAACCGCAATATATAGATACGGTACACTAACCGTCTAACAAGTTAACAAGTAAAAGATTTGTTTAAATAGTCATCTATCCTATCGCCTTATGCACGAAATTATGTGATTTTGTTTTTTTAATCGATTTCAAATTGATAACTTTTCAAAATATTATAACTTATAATTATATTAATTTAATTTAAACAATTTACTCATTTATTTTAATTAAATGATGAAACGTGTAATTTTATGTTTTTTTTTAATTCTCAAGTAATAAACTGAAATGTTTATTAGTATAATAAATTATTATAATATATTATAATTAAATTATTGTAATTCATTTTATCTAATTATTTATTTTTAATTCATTTTATCTAATTATTTATTTTCTTTAGAATACAATTTAAATTTTTATTTAATTATTAATTTTTTTTATTTAATTATTAATTTTTTTATAATTAAACAAGCTATAAAAGTATTTAATTATATTTGTAAATAAATTTTAAAAAATTGAAGTTATATTCTAAATATATTGATTAATTATATAATTGTAGTTCGTAACTCCATTATTTAATAAAAATTACAATAATTATTACAATATAAAAAACTAATTAGTAAAAAAATATAAAATACCACATCAGATTTTATATTTTAATATGTGGTCATAGCAACATTAATATTTTAAGAATTATATATTTATATAGATAATATTATTAATTTTATTGATCATTAGAAAGAATTGAAAAATTACATTCTATTTATAATCACTGATATCTGAAATCCCACTAGGTAGTAAGATCATCAATTCATGTATGTTATATGCAGCAATGTCATCTAAATCAAATAAAATATCAGTTGCTACTAAGAAGAGCTACAATTTTTTTATCAAAATAATGTTTAAACATAAAAATCCAATATTACCTCTATTAGTTTTATTATTAAAAAAAATTAATAATTTTTTAACAACAAACTTTATTAGGTCTAAAATTAAGTTCTATAATTCATCTATTTGAGTATTTATTTGTCATAATTGAATTTTTGATATTATTAATAAATTATATTTAAAAAAAGAAACCAACAACTTTAAGTTTTAGCAAATTAAAATGAGAAAAAAGACCAATACTTTAAATTCTTTGAATTTTCAAAAGAAAAAGATTAAATTACATTGAAATGAAGATATAGAGTGGTTTGAAACAAGTGAATTTTACAAAATTTTATGGAATTCATTTGAAAATCCAAAATATGCATTTGGAATGAAAAAAAAATATAAATTTGAATTATACGAATTGAATTCTATGGAATTGGATATTTCTAACTTAAATTCTACTAAAATTGATGAAATTTGCAAATAAATTCCACAAAATTCACCATTGAAATATTTATTAGCAAAATTATCCTCCACTATAAACTCAACTATTTTTATTTCTTTTTTTTTCCGCTTTGTTTATTTTCTTTAGAAAATTTCAAACTATAACAATGTTATTTTTTTAATCCAATATTGACGTTATTTTATATTTTTATTTTTTTTCCATTTCTTTTTTTTTTTTTTTTTTTTTTTGGAAAGTTCCAAATCAGTAATGAAGTTTTTTTTTAAGTCCAGTAATAACATTAGTTATCATTACTTTGAAACTATAAAAATTGAGTATCAATAGTTGTTTTCAAATGCAATTAAAAACAATAGTAACGTTCTTAATATTTTTTTTAGTTTTCAAATTAATTACTTAAATCAATGAAATTTTTTATATCAATTAAAAATAATAATTATGATGAATGTTACTACTTATGTAAGTAATTAATTAATTAGTGTATTTATTTATATGAAATTTATTATTTATATTTTAATAAAAAATGAAAAAATGGACAAGTTATTATATTGTACAACTAATAAATATAATTGGTGTTTTTGTTATTTATTTTTGTTAAATTATTATGTCAAAGGGTTTGTATAAAAAATAAAGACAAATGAAATTTTCAATTTAAGAATTTATTGCAAACATAATTTATAGAATCCAATGAATTCCTTATTTTAAATCATAACATATCAAACAGAACAAATTTATTTTTTGCAAAATGAATTCTAAATTTTTGTTAAATTATTATGTCAAGGGTTTTATAAAAAATAAAGACAAATGAATTTTCATTTAAGAATTTATTGCAAACATAATTTTATAGAATTCAATTGAATTCCTTATTTTAAATCATAACATATCAAACATGACAAATTTATTTGCAAATGAATTCTACGACCATGATTCATTTATTCCAAACGAGCCAAAAAATTAAGTGTCATAATTTTAATTTTTTTTTACCATATTATCTGTCATTTCAAAAAATTTAAGAAAATTATACTTTGCAATTTTATCCACATCTATTGATACAATGAGCAAGAAATCTGTAATAAAAGGGTAATCTAAAGAAAATAAGGAAGAATCAGATTTATGTCAAATAATTTCTCTACGGCCTCTCTATATGTCATGCAAATCTAATTAAAAGCATAGAAAAAAAAAAAAAGTCTTGCGAATATTTTAACGCTCTAATTAGTGATGGAGCCAGAAATTTTCTTTTTAATTTTATAAGTAAAGACAAACAAATAAATGTGTTTCAAGATTGGGTAGCTAATTAGTAGCCATATTTATTCATATCAATTTAATAGCTATTGGCACACCAAGATATAGTTTAACGGTAAGTGTATATATAATCTGATAATAAATTCAAAATTGAATTCTTCTTCCCCGATACTCAAAAAATAAATAATTTTATAATAATTATGACTGTTAGTAAATCCTGCTCCTTCTAATTCTAATTTGAGCTAAGTGAATATGATTTGTCAATGGCATTCTAATTTGAGGTTAGTGAATATGATTTGTCAATGTCATTGTCTCTTTGGGTAACCAAGTTCCGGCATTGCTACGGCAAAGCAAACCAAGTTGTAAATAGACCAGCTAATTTTTTTGATAATATAACCACCGCTGTTCAAAAGTGGATATAACTACCGCTATTCGAAAGTTCATTGATTTATGACTATATTCGATTTGAATAATGTACTGCAGGATCTATATAGGGAGTGATTCTCTCAATGTCATTGCACTGCAGGATCCATATAAAAGGCGACTCTTCCGGCGTGATTTTTGATTAAGTGAAAAGAGTATCGATTGCTTCATTCTAATCAACGCTGATAATAGGCTAGCTAATTTAATAATAGGTAGTCTTTTTAATTTATAGATTTTCCCTTCAGTTCTATATTTAAATAATAATAATAATAATAATAATAACAACGACAACTCGGAAGAGTGACCTAAAAAGTAGGTCGTAATCCTGTTCTCATAAATAAGCAAGTGGGTTTGCATAGCCATGGGCTGAGCTGGATTTAAACTGGACCACATGAGGGATCAAAGTTGGCCACTTGGCCTACCTCTTATTCCTCTCTAAAGTCACCTCTTAGAACATACCAGTGGTCTTGCTTAGACATGCTATATGGAAATCTTCAATGTACCAAATTACAATAATCGCAAATATATAAATATAGGAAAATTCAATTTACTTGTTGTATCTTTTACTATTAATCACTCAAAATTCAATGAATAAAGACACATATAGGAAACTACACGAGTCTAATTACCTCTGTATCGATTGGAGGTTCCATAAGTTCAGCTTTTGTCAATATGCAGGTCTTCCAAAACAGCAAGAAGGTCGGCAATGGCATGTGACCTTTTTTCTTTTTCTTAATAAAATATGAAGCTCACAACTTGCTCATATCTCATCACCATCAACAGCCATGCAACTCCATATTCCAAAACAACTAAACTACTACTTCTTCTTCACGTAGCCAGTCAAATCTTTTCTTGCTAACTGTGCTTACCTTCTTCTTCAAGTACGACGTACCCAACTCTTTCATTTCTCCTTATATATCTTGAATAAAAGCATATTGCTTTCAAGAATTTAAACATGAAGAGGCAAAGGAATGTGGAACCTCAAACTAGAGCTTCAAAAGCTATGGCGAAGAAGAAAGGCAAGAGGGTTGTTGAGGAGCTGGAAGAGGAAAGGAAGAATGGGGCCTGCGGAGGTGGAGAACCGAGTACAGGAGTGGTGGAGAGTTGTCTGAATTGGGAGGAGTTGGCGTGGTTAAGGCGGGGTGTTGTGGATGAGCAAATGTCGTGGGGGTCAATTTGGTTGCCGTTTTGGGATGTGGAGTACATGGGTGAGGCTTGCAGTGAAATGTTTAGTGATGTGGTTTGGGATTATGATATTTGGAACTTGAAGAGCATTCAGCAGGTACCGAATCCATAACAGGCTTTGTTTGATACAGTAGGATTAATCCATAATTGTTCTACTTCTTTTATTAATTAGGCTCTTAAATTCTTTTAGTTAATAAGATTTGACTTGATTTAGAACTTGCAATCTTTTAGCTCTGATGAGAGACTGATTTTTGTACTGGGGCTACTATTAATAAAAAAAGAAACTGCAACAGCCAAATTCACAAACACATGGTGTGCAATTAACCGAAACCTGTAAAATTTAATTCCATTTCAAATCAATTCCAGAAGAGAGAAAAACTTGACAAAATGGGAATTGTGAAACAAAAATCTGAAAAAGAAATGAATGCCCACGAATTAAAAAAGCCTCAGAATTTTAAACATTCGCAGGCTTTTAGGCAATGAAACTGATGCACTGCACTTGGCGCTTGTTGTCAAATCCAATAATTCTAATGAATGAATTTGGGTAAGCTGTTTTAGCTTCTTCTAGCTCCTTAAGAACTTGGGCTGAATCTGTGCAACCAAACATGGGGAGCTTCCACATTGTCCAGTAGCGTCCGTCGTAGTAACCAGGGGATCTGTGGTTCTCACGGTAAACAAATCCGTGCTGCATTTTCACATATATATATATATTATCAGTATCTCAATTACCATCTGCACTTTTACATATCTATTGCTAATAAGTTCATAGTCAGAAGAAAAGTACCTCCAACTCAAATTCCAAGCAAGGAACCCTATCCATGCGAAGAAGGTAATGAACCTCCTTGGCTAATTGATCTTGGGAGAGAGGTGGCAGGTATGAGAGAGTCTCAAAGAACTTCTTTCCAACTGGAGGCCACACCTGCATGCACTGAACTCTTCCACCTTTGCTGGATATAGAGGTTATGTCAGTATTGTTTTTGCGGGTTACTGAGAATGCTGAAGTAGACTTGAGGCCTGTGAATGGTGCAACCATTGTAGCCTGAGCCGGTGAGGCACGGCTAACTGAGGCACAGCCGAAGATGTTACAATTGAAGCCATTGCCTTGCCTGCCTCTTTCTACTTGCTTTTCCCTATATAACTAAGCTTTTGTGATCAGTTGAAGACGCCTTCCAATAGCTGCATTGTTCAGTATTTATAAAGGTGCATGTTTAGCTCTTCATATTGGAAGTTTCTGTATTTACCCATTAACCCATTATCCAATCTAGTGGTCTAAATCCTCTTGTGATGAAAGTGTTGGCAATTTCAGGCCTTTAAAGTTTTGAATGGCTTAATACGTAAATCAATCCTTAAACTTTTTGACAAATGTTAGTGTTCTTTTTCTTTTATGAGTATTATAAGAGAAATGGAGACTAAATCCTCTATTAAAGCACAGATAATGTGGCATTTGTTTCTTAATTTGCTGAAATCTATCAATCTTTGGACATGTTAAATTCATAGATATCATTATCAAACAACTGCTATTCAAATTGAAGAATAAATTAATTGATAACAGAGATGATAAAATTTGATCATATAATTAGCTAGGGGGTGAGCATGAACATGAACATTACAAGTTAATAGCCACACATAGCCAAATCTAGTAGAATCCACTAGTTGTGCCGCTTGGTGAGTGCCCGTCGTATCTTATCTCAGGCGAGGAATGAGGACCAAGACATCAATTTTCTGTGGTTCTTTAGTCTCTCATTTCTCTCTTGTTAGGTTCTTCACAATTGATGAATGCCATACATTTAATATAATTGTGTTAAAGAACGTAAATCAAGTTTGTCTTAATTCTTGAGTTGATTGCTTGCGTTCTATGGAATGAGTAGATTCATAGAATGCTTATCGGCTGATTGCTTAGAATTACGTGATGATCAATAATTTCCTCCGTTGTTTTATCAATACAAGGGAACTGTTTTTGTACCATGAAATATTAAGCATTCGATGTTCTTTATTTCATATTGCTAAACTAAAAATTAACTCAGAGAATTTGGAAGATCTTTAACAGAAGGAATAATTAGTGAGATGGAAAAGTAACACAGACTATATAATTAAAATTTGAAAATTAATGTCCTAATTAGTATAATAACTAAATATAATTTAGAGACTAATGCGATCAGCTATCCATTATAATACAATATTTAATTATTGATGATTTTATGATTTTATTAAAACTTTCATTTAATAATTAATATACTTTAACAAAATGGATGGCCTTTTCCTATGATGTAAAGTCTTTATTTTTAAGACGTGATCTTTGGTTTCTTGATGAGCCAAGAATGTATATTTGATGAAAATGACAGGATTGTCATCAAGCATCAGTGGTCTAGTGGTAAAATAGTACCCTGCCACGTTACAGACCCGGTTTCGCTTGGCAGGTTTCTGTTGGGCTATGATGAAGCTAGTGCTCACTGTGATTGATGGGGTCTATCGCAGCCGTCAGATCTTCAGCAGCAGCTGAAACCAGAGCACGTTTGAGCTCTTCTTTTTACTAAAAAATTTTTCCTACATCATTGAGGAGCCATTCTTAATTATAATTTTATTTAGATCTTCCTCTTCAAAGTCCCTAACTCAATATTTATTTGCAGCCTCATTGCTTAGACAAATGATTGAATTGAGGAAACATTTTTTGCATCCAATGGTTGTTATTTAAGAAAATTTTAATTTGTGGACAAAAGTATATAATAAAAAAAATACTCTAATTATTGCTATATTTATTGAGTGATAATCAAATAGAAAATGCATTTTTGATGTCATATACCTTGTGCTATAATACAATTTTGCAGTGCGACAGTAATTAATTCAACAGAAGCTCTTATTTTTGTATGTCATTGAATATACTTACTTTTCTGGGGAAAAAAAATTGAAATTTTGAATTTTGGGAAATATGCAATCCAAAAGTTCAATCTCCCATGAAATTATATGCATGCATTAATTATTAGATTGAGTTTCAATTCATGTTAATTTCATAAAGCTTCCATTTCAACACTCTATAAACCAATTATTGTTTAAGGAAAATTCTGTCCAATACTGACTTTATAGTAATCGATGTCTAATCTAATGTGCAATGTGATTCTTTTGGAAGCACATATAGGCTTTTATTATATACCACAAATTTCTTGAATAGGTCCATATTATAACATTGTGTAGATTGTAGATTAATGGAACAAATTCCTCAATTTCACACAAAAAAAAATTACTACTTTTGTTCCGTAATACTTATCACGTTTGAAAAAATAGTTTATTTCAAAATATTTGTCATATTTGTGGTTTCAAGGAGAAATAAATATTTTTTTCATGTTTACCATTTGTACATGATCAATAATTATTACTTCAATTTAATGATTTTCTTAGAGAATTAGTATTAAATCAAGAGTAATAGAGTCAATTTATTCAATAACTTATTGTAACTTGAACAAATTTAATGGTTTTCTTTAGAAACGTGAAATTCTAAATGTGACAAATATTATGGAGCAAATATAGCAATTGTTATTTAAAATGTTAGATAAGGATTTCAAATTAAAATGGAAATTGGAGGACTAATGTCTTTCTTATATCCAATTAGGTACATTGTCAAACCCTAATGCCTAACTTGATAACTGGAGCAATTAATTAATACCTTATAATGGACAATCATCTTTTTGTGTTTCAAAGTCTAAAATGATTTTGACAATTAGATATATTCAATTCAGGGATAGGCCTTTCCTAAAAAATTAGGAGGTCAAACTATATTTTTGATTAACGAGAGTTCAAACTAAAATATTTTTTTTTTCCAATCTGTTTTTATATTCGGGAGGCCGGGCACTTTGAGATCTATGTGCGTTCATCACTAATCCAATGTCATGCCATGGTATGTGGTGATGGAGTAGCAGAAAAAGCAGAGTTATTAACCAAACCAAGAGTGAAATCGTGTGATTGAAATTCATTTTGGGCATGCATTGTCTCCCTATCTTGATCTTCCATATCACTTTCATTACATGACTTGAAGGGAAAAAAAAAAAGCGTTAGCTAGTGAACTTCTCAGAGATTTAATCAAACTTACTTAATTCTACCACACAACACAATTTCATGTTCTGATTTTTGTTTCCTTTGTAGCATTGTGACCCACAAGCTTCATAACTTGTTAGTCCCAAAATCAAATCTACACTAGCCAAGCAAAAATTTCTTGGCTAAAAAGCCTTTGCAACTTTTTTTTTCCCCATGGATAGAGCTGTTGAGTTGGAAAGTTTCATCAGTTAACTATCAAATCTATCATAATTAAATTAATTAATTCGGAAAATGTATATGCAAGTTACGGTTAAACCTCCATGTTTGCCTTTCCTCCATTTTTTTACGGTGCTTCAAATTCCGTGACAGCCAAATTTTCATTTGTATATTAGTTCAGTTGTTTTACTTTGATTTATGGAATGGAATTAAAATGTAAAAATGAAAATCTTTTTATTTTTTTTTATACATTGGAGGTTAAATGGATCCGGAAAACATCCGAGTTGCAGGTAGTTCTTTGAATAACATTTTTACTAAATTAAATTAGTGATGAATTACCTAAAATGCTTTTTAAAGGACAATACAAGTTTCTCCTTGAATGCTAGTTAGAATTTCAAGTTGAATTTTGTTGCACATAATTGCAATCTACCAAACAACTTTAAATCACAATTTTCAAATGTTTGCTAATTCTACCTCTTTCTCCTATTGAAGAAGTGTGTTTATTTTTTATATTTAACATTTTATTTGTTTTTTGGGAGAAAGAAAGACTTTTGTTTAGTTGTGGGAAAAAAGAAAGGCTTTGACCAACTATTTGCTTATAGGCTTGTGTTGTGGTTGGGCAAAGGCCCAATAACTGTTCGGCCGAAGCCTAAAACTTTTTGACCGGCCTTTTAGTGGCATTAAAGCTGAATTTATGGAAATTCAGGCCATGTAAAATTTCAGGTGCTTGTCTAATCTCCAATGAGGTAGATGTGAGGATCCAGTGAGGGTGTCTATATTTTCTTATCATACTTCATCCTCTCTAACGAGGAATTCTAACCAGTCATGTGCCTGAGAAAATTTTTAGAAGAGCAAAACATAATTGATTTTTTTTTTTTTTTTTTTTTTTTTTATCAATACTTTCAATCCTCTCTAACGAAGGAATTCTAACCAGTCAATGTGCCTGAAAAATTTTTAGAAGAGCAAAACATAATGATTTTTTTTTTTTTTTTTTTTTTTTTTTTTTTTTTTTTTTTTTTTTGTGCTAGATCACAAATGTGTCTAGCCTATTAGACCGGATCTAATCCTCATCGTGTTGCTATAGACTCTTAAAGGAGAAGCGCGTAGAAATTTTTTTCATTTTATTTAAAACATCTAAATACTTTCCACTCACTTAGATGAATTGATTCTTAAAACAACTAATATATTTTATTTTTTTCTAAAATAATTATTATATCCATTTTTAATCATTTAATATTTATAGTACGGTGATTAAAGAAATAATTACTTCAACTAATTGTAATAAAATACTTCTTAATACATCCAACATTTAGCGTTTAACAATAATTAATTTATGTTTAATGGTTAAATATACAAATATGTTATCTAATACTAATATGATTTTTAAAATTAATACATCAAAATGTTTGAAAATTAATTTATATAAATCGGTTAAATATACAAATATGTTTTGCACCAATAAAAATTAATAATATAAAAAATTATTTTATTTAGAAAAAAAGAGTATTTAATGGCTAATATGATAATACAGGTTAATACTTGAGTTCTCACTTGTATAAAATTCTGTATTTATATAGAATTTTTTAATATCTAAAAGACTTTTATAAAACTCATGCATATTGTGTTACATCAATTCAAACCACCTTATATTGCATATCCACCATCACACCCTATCTAGCGTCGCATACAATCCTTTCCCCAATAACATAACCCTTCTTCCAACCCCGCGTCTCTTCTAACAGTCTCGCTTAAACTTATCATCCCCATAATCCATATCGTGAAACCACGCTCAATCTCTATTGCACCGTATGTCTACTTTAAAGGGCACGTGAACATTAGACACTATAACTCGCGTGGGTCTAAAAAACTTCTTTCACTTCTTTTCACAAGCAACACTCCGCTGCGACGCTGCGTACAAAGCAAGTCCCACTGTTCGTACTCCTTTTTACCACTTCCCACTAAGCAGCAGCGAAGAGACTATCAGAGCTAAACAGCTTCTCTCTCTAGTGGACGCTTTCTCTCTCTAGCAGACTAAAGAAGAAATTTCAGATGGGAGAAGGTAAAGGCTCAACGCTGGTTCACCTTCTGGTGGTGGTTCTGTGCCTTGTTGCCTTTGGATTCGCCATTGCTGCCGAGAGACGAAGAAGCATTGTATGCCTTTCTCTGTCTTTTGCCTTTTCACTTCATAATTGCTGTTCAGCTGTGTCTGCAGTTTGCATTTATCTTAGTACTCATTCTTCGCGCTTTGATCTCTGTTCCTTGCATTAGATGCTTTGAGTTGTGGAGATCTGTGTATTTATTTGTTAATTCGTCACTTCTTGTACACTTTTGATTGGGGTCTTTACTTAGGATTGAGGTTAGTATTTGTTAGTTCAATCTTTGGATACTTAGTTTAAGTAAAGGTTCGGCGTTGGTTTTGTTGATAGATTTGAAAACTTATAATAAGAAAAAGTTTGACTTCAGAATTTTGATTGCTTCTGATGGATTACTCATAAGAGGGAGTGAATAGGGAGTCCACAGTTACGTGGCTAAAAGAAGAGCAAGTTCAGAGGAGCAAGTTCAGATGGATTAATAGCATGATAATTATACGTTGAGGATATTATGTAAAATTAGTTGAATAAGCTCTAATGTCCTAGTGCCTCTAGCCTCTAGGGCATTAAGTAAACTGTGAAAGTTAGAAGCACAATAGTTATTTGCTTTAGTAATTTAATGAACCTTGATTCTTTATTTAATTTTTGAGAATGGGCCTTAACTCATTGTAATTTCCTTATTTGATTGCTATATTGAAGCATGGCAGTTTGCAACCTTTGCATTTTTTTCAGATCCTTAAGTTAGTTTAGTGATGGTAACAAGGTCATAGTTTAGTGATGGTAACAAGGCCACAACCTTGGGGACACAATTTGAAATTTTAATTTACATAATGCTACGATTGGAAAAACTATGGTGGCAATGGATTGAATAGTGATGGCCAACAATGATCAGTAGCTAAAGAATTTATGCCTTGGTGATTTTCTTGTGAGCTCTTGTTTTCTGTGATTTATAAAATTCAAATCCATCCCAAACACAATGAATGCAGAAAATACTTTCATGGGGAAATTTGACTCCAAGAAAAAAATATAACTTTTTCTACCATAACTGATGGCTGAATGGCAATTCAATAAGTGATTTATTTAGGATCATATGATGAAAATTATGGTGCAAATTAAAGTGCTGCAAACTAATTGGACTTTGCCATTGAGTTGTTTTCACGAACCACTGAACCTAAAAAGCTCAAGCTTGTAGGTAAGGGCTCGGGAATTGTTTTATATACATTTGACAGTTATAGTATGAGGTCCTGAGGATGTGTAGAATCATGCGAAAAGAATTAGCTGGAAAGGGTTTATATAAGTAATATCGTTGGCTAGGTTGTGGACACTATGATGAGACTCTTAGGTACACTCTTATCTATGACCCAGGCTACTTGGAACTCACAAGCATCATTAGGTAAATTACACATTTCAGAACACAGTGGTTAATGCTGCAGACTTTCACTTTTTTTATCATCACCAGCTCATTCTTGTTGATAGAGCTGCAAATCAAGCAGCTGACTTCTTACCTAAAGCATGTTTTAGGAATATTCTGTCGATGGATTGGATTTGTAATCCTCCTATTCCTTTATCTGAAATATTGTATTTGGATGCCAATAGGCTTTTATCAATGAAATTATATTTCATTCTGTTCAAAAAAAAAAAAAAAAAAAAAAAATGTATTTGGATGCCAATAGGCCTTTTATCAATGGAAAATTTATATTTCATTCCTGGTTCATAAAAAAAAAAAAAAAAAAAAAAGGACTTTCACTTATTCATCATTTTCCCCATTGTTGTGGCTGGAGTTGCCTGCTTGATCATGCAAGGGCAACATATGATTAGGCATTTCTTAAAAAAAAAAAAAAAAAAAAAAAGGACTTTCACTTATCATCATTTCATTAGTTGGTGGCTGGAGTTGCTGCTTGACATGCAAGGGCAACATATGATTAGGCATTTCTTGGGATTGCAAAAGATTTCTTCTTATAGTGGTTATAAGTTCACAATTTGGTGAAAGAACATGATACAATCAAGGTCGCATGCATGCATGCGTAATTGGATATCTGCAACTGAGATATTATATCTGTAGGTTGGGCCTTTTTATTTATTTTAATTCCCAGAAATGCTCTAACTTCTAATAAAAATGAAGTAGAGAAAATAGAGTTTCGTTCCTTCATGTGGATTTCTTATGCTGCAAAAACATATCCTAATGCAACAAAAATTTTGAAATTTTTTAAAATAAAAAGATTTAAGGTGATTTAAATTTTCTTATCACTGCATGAAATGCATAGTCTTTCTTAATTTGGTAATTTGAAGCAAAATCACACAGTTCTCTGTGTAATAATTGTGTCTAATATATCTATTGGTGGCAAATAGAGATCCCAGTTTTTACGTGTGGCCACTGCATATAATTGATAGAAAAAAGGAAATTTATGGTTTCCATGGACTTGTCTTTGCCCCAGCAGCAAACATGCATGATCTACTCTTGCTGCAACATAATCAGTAATTTCATACTGAATTAGACACCTGTAATAACTCATGATTCATATTTTCTTTTTCATGTCTCATTTAGATCCTTTTATATTCTTTATGACAGGGCCGCGTTGAGAAAGATCCTGTAAATGCTAATGTTACTTATTGTGTCTACAACTCTGATGTGGCAACTGGTTATGGAGTGGGTGCTTTCTTATTTCTTCTCTCGAGTGAATCACTGCTAATGGGTGTAACAAAGTGCATGTGTTTTGGAAGACCATTAGCTCCAGGTGGAAATCGAGCATGGTCTATAATATATTTTGTCTCATCATGGTGAGAATTATTTTCTGCAATATTCTCAAACAATCATGATAAAGTTATCCTATATGATGAGATTGACACATCAGGAAACCGCATGAACTATTAACGATCAACTCAAATATCAATCTCTTTCCGAGGATATGCTCTTTGCTCTTCACATGCCTTTGATTTCTTCATTCATTCTCATATCCTAGCACTCTCCCATTCACTCTCTCTATTGCAATATGTGCATGGGCATTTGTTTTACATCCCAAATTTATATGTGCTTTCCCTTATAATTATGGTTGTCCTTTCTGGAATCCACACTTCTGTAGATTGTAAAATCAATATTATGTTGTGAATGACAATGTGCCCACAATCATACATTGGACTTGAACTGGCAAAAGGTCAAAATTTGAGACCTTTTCTATCTTCTCTGTATGCAGGTTGACTTTTCTGGTTGCAGAAGCATGTCTACTTGCAGGTGCAACAAAAAATGCATACCACACCAAGTACAGGGGAATGATATATGCTCAAAATTTCTCATGTGAAACATTGCGTAAGGGTGTTTTTGTTGCTGGAGCTGTGTTTGTAGTTGCAACAATGATTCTTAATGTATACTACTACATGTATTTCTCCAAGGCTACTGCCCCTCAGGCAGCCAGCAAGGCAAATCGTACTAGTTCGAATGTCGGGATGGCTGGGTATGCATAGAATTATCTAATGGGGCCAGATAACTTAAAGTTTTGCTTCTTGATATTTTGAGCCTCGGGTGGTGATTGTATTATGAAGTTGTTATATATAGTGCTTTTATGATTTTTATGAATGCTTTTATCTTTGATAGCAAAATGAATACAAATTGTTCCCTATTTCAAGCAGGATGAAACTAAGAATTTGTTTGGCAATAAGATTGAAACTGTTTTATGGAAAAGCGTTATTTTGAACGTTGAAAGCAATTTTTAGCTATCTCAAAGAAAAAACTTCCAATTATCTTTAATAGATGTTTTCAAAATTACAATATTTTTCCTCAATAACAGCTCAAGCGACAACACCACAAACAAACCTTCAGCAAGCAAAATACAAAGCCTGCTAAAAGCTCAGAATCCTCGACGAGTAAACAAGATTGTAGCCAATTATAAAAGAATCAGTCTCCGGTTCTGCTAATGAATGAAGACAGAGGTGCAAAGTAGAGAATTTAGAGGTGGTCTGGAAATCGAGTTTCTTTCACTTTAGGAAGATAGTAGATGCCAAGGAGGCTCACATGACAAGCTAGTTATGGGTGCAAATTGTTGGGATTGGGCCTACCATGTTGGATTACCTGTTCTTGAAGTAAAATTTGTTTTCTTCTCCCCAGGAATGGCAATAAATTTCAAGAACCAGGCTGTCATTAGCGTACCATTTTTTCTTGAAAAATAACAAAAACCACAAACCAGCAGCAAATCACATTCTGATATTCCTGAAAGCCATTTCTTTTTTATAAATAGTTTTCTTGAGTGGGAATAAAAAAATAATTCATTTGACAATAAAATGTCAGAAAGAGATATATTCATTCATATTATTGAGCCATCAAATAGAAATGAGTTTTGATTGAAGTTGAATTTAATAAAAACAAAATAAAATAGAGAGTATCAGAAAATTTCAGATGATCTTCACGTGCTCCTGCATAGGCAACATCTTTGACAAGACTACAACAATGGCCACACCGATCTTTGTTTCTGAATCAAGAGTAGAGTGCCATTCAGTTCTTCTTACATATATTGGACCATACTCAAACTTGGCTGTTTACCTACATATCCAAAATATGGAAGCTTTAATGTCTAATAGTCTAACCGCATGATTCAAGCTGACCCACCTCCATCGTCCGATTCAGATTGACAAGTCTTCTCTCAACGTGGTAACATAAATTTTGATAAATGATTTGAATCGAACAATCAATCAACCATACTAGATTATTCATATGCATCGCAAGATATGTGTATACATCTATTTCCGACAAAAACGTCAGAGATTTTGGTACAATAGACTTGAATTCTAAATTTTTTATTTCCCACGTCCTCTAAAAGACGAAAGATAAAGAGATGTTCACTCCGATTCAACACAACCCAGATCAAGATTCATTTATAAATAGACTGGGTGCAAATATCTAATCGACTCGAACTTGATTCAATTAATTTTTTCTCTTTTTTTATATATAATGTAGGCTATTTTAGTTATTTTATGTATATTAACTCAATATGGATCCGAAACCGAATTCAACTCAATCTAACGCATCACGGGTACTCGATGAATATTATTTTTCATTGATAGGTAGATATAAATATCGCAAAATCTAACGCAAAATCCATCCATGATGATCAATCAAAATCACATCTGATTGATTAAAATATATTAAGTTCGTTACGTATACGTTTCTTAGAAAATTAGAGCACGAAGATTAGGAATTATCATGAAGCTTTCTGCTTTAGAAATACTGAAATTAATAAAATTTTACCATAATCCCATATTTGTTCTTCCCTTTTCCGCATACACTCTCTAACAAAAATTTAAAAGAGAGCTCCTGTTGTGTCGTAATTTGACCCATAGGTTATAGAGGCGATGAGGTTTTGCAGGAAATTCTCAAATAAGTACAATATATACATAACAAAGGAATTATTTGTTTGTTCAGAAGAATCACATTTGTTGACCTTACATTTTTAATTTACTCATTAAAGAGAGTGGATGAAGAAAAAGGCAAGAAGAAAGAGGCCAAAATGGCAATGAGTAACGCCAACCAGAAAATGGCAAATGCAATGAAGGACAGGCTTAAGGGATTAAAGCCCTTTACGCAGATGAAAAAACAGGACACCCACAACCCATACAAATTCCAATTATAAGCTTAAAGTTCCCGCCTGCAAGAAAATCAGATTACCTTTTTTTTTATTTTCATTTATTTATTTAGGACTTGGAATTTTATTTTTATTTTCTTTTTCAGACTAAAACAAAACCTACTTTTTTTAATGCTCTGTTTTTCTCTCTGTATAGTTCAAATGAAGACGAAAGTGGTTTTAGCATCAGAGTTCAAACTCTGATGAAAACAAATATTGTTCCCATATTGCCCTTGGTGATTTGTTAAAAATTACTGAATTGGACAAATAGGTATCTCTGAACCCCACATGTTCATGATTGATTTTTTTACCGTAGCGAACTTTAGATTTACAGAATTTTGTCCATTTATTGCACGGAAATAATCTTATCTCTAATTCTTAAGTGCATGGTGAAAATTGTAAAACATGATTAATTAGGATTTTATCATGTTTAACATATTAAGGGTTACAGAAAATTAGGTAATCAATGAATTAAGTTTGTGTAAACTGGCAGTACGAATTTTGCAGGGAAAACATCTGTCTGGACTCTCTTCTGATTCTCATAGACACACTTTAGGGTTCCACAGGAAAATCATTCATAGGCTTCCAATGGCGAAAGTACTTTTGCTCTGGTTTTCCTTTTCTTGTTTTTTGGTCTCACATAATAATATACCTACTTTATTAGGTTTGAATTTGACTTTACTGCTTTGACCAATTCACTAAATTGGACCTTAAATAATAATAATAATAATAATAATAATAATAATAATAATAATAATGCTTCTCTTTTTCTTTTTCTTTTTTTTTTAAAGGGTAATAATAATAGTAAATCTAATTGCATGTGGTTCTTGCTGTGCTCATTGACATGTCATATTGTACAATATATGATAGATTGGTGTAGATTTCATGTTTGGATTAAAATAGAATTTTCTTTTCCTCTATTTTTTTTATTTTCCTCTTGGAAAATAAATTATTCCCCTTTTGGTACTATAATTATTTAGTATCTACGTGCCTTGGTATCGGCCTCCTCGCCCATATTATATTATAGATAAATGATTCTAAATGGTAAAACATGAGGTGTTAAAATTTTTAAAATTTTTTTATTGTTTTAATTATAATTTTAAAATTATAATTATCAAATATAAATATATTGTATTTGGTCATTTATACTGATGGAATGTGCATCTTATTGCTTGATTAACAAAATCTATGAATATTAATTCATAATTGATAGTTAATCATTAAATAAATAAATATCTTGTTTCTTGCTAAATCATTTGGCTCAAAATAAAGAAACCAAGTGGATCATCAGAATCGATAAATTCTCAAGTTCAAAGGCATGTGTTAAAAATTTTACAGTTCACAGCCATGAATATCTAATATAATTGGTTAAGGTCAAGGGAAAGATATTTTTTTTAATAATTAAAATGAAAGACATATATATAATGAATAAAAATCTGTAGGTTTTGAAACAAATCTATCATAGGTCGTCCTTTTTCATAATTCAAATAAAAATAAAAAATAAAATAAAATCAAAGAACTTACTCTTCTTAACCAGAGGATGAAGATCGAACGGACAACATTAAACTGAGACATGATTTCCCTTGTCACATACGTTAAACACGACCAATGTCTCCAACACTGCCGCGAGATTCTCGGCCTTCAGCCTCGGCCTAAGCCCATGTTTCCCTTCTAACTCTTTTTTTTTTTTTTTTTACAATGTAATCCAACACTGCCGCGAGATTCTCGGCCTTCAGCCCTCCGCCTAAGCCCATGTTTCCCTTCTCTTTTTTTTTTTTTTTTTAAGTAGTATTATTTTAGTCAAGCAAGCAAGAAAGAGGAGAGTAAAAAGCACACTCATTTTTGGCGCGTGCTATTAATGATAATTTTCTCAACATAAAACTTGAAACTTTGTCCATTTCACATTTTCTTTATCTTTCTTTTTCCCTGGCACCAAAATTTGAGGTAAATGCCATTTCTAGCTAATTTTTCACACATACAATCATGTCAAGACTCTAAAAAGTTGATGATCCTCTTAGGGATACCCCCACACAAATTAAAAATTTCCAAAATAAAATTTATAATAATTATTCAATTTGATATTTTATTATTTAAACTTAAATCTAGTTTAAATGGTTCCAACTATGGTTAGTAAATCTGGGATGAAATTCTAATATAATGAAATCAAATGTATACTTATCGTGTAAATTTATATCCCAACATTGTATTCATCTTACTACTTTATCTACCCACAAATATATATCGTTTTAGAAAAATTTTTCTATACACAAATACATATTATTTCAGACTATTAAAAAGTAATTAATGATACTTTTTTCAATTTTATTTTTATTTATATTAAATACAATAATTATATTTATAATTTTTAAAAGGATAATTTAGTCAAATTAATGAATATTTTATTAATTTTTAAAAGGATAATTTAGTCAAATTAATGAATATTTTATTATAATAATTATCACTGTGTAATTACTCTGAACGACTTATTTTAATTGCCAGAGCATTCATGACTAGATTGAGGACAAAACTCTCTCATTTTCATTTTAATTTAAGCCCCACAAAAACATGTGGAAGAAATATAATCAAACAATATTAACTAATAGCTAAGGATGGTGAAGCAATGGCCCATTGGACGATTAATTTAGAAATTTACTGTGATTACCCACATGGAAAAAGATTTCAAACTCAATGGTGGTGATCAGGGGTCTCCACTCATTAAATCAGATTAGATTGAATTAAAATAATAATAATAATAATAATGTGAAGCAGATTGCTACTACTGGCAATTGCTATAAAAGCCTAAAAAAGGATTTAGCCAATAAATAATTAATATTATGAAGCAGAAACAAAGACAAATTAAATAATGAAAATGCATGTCTGATTGATTGCTATTGCAAAGAAAAGATCACTGCTATACGTACAGTGCTAGCAACTAATGATATTTTCAATTACATTATAAACAAAATTAATAATAGCCTCTGCCATTTTTCTCTCTCACGTGGGCCACACGTACCTCTCTCTCTCTCTCTCTCCCCCCCCCCCTCTCTCTTCCTCTCCTCTCTCCCCCCCCCATTACCCAAAGTTAGCCTCAGCTCTCCACTTATACGCGTCCTGCAGCTACAACCCAGTATACTACTCCTATCAGATAGATAGATCAGAGATGAGTAGATGAGAGAGAGAGTTTGGTTTTGGACCAGACAGAATCCGAAATACTCTCATTTCTTGGGGAAAAGAGTCTTCATTCGCCCCCCCCCCCATTACCCAAATTAGCCGTCACTTCACTTATAGCGTCTGCAGCTAAACCTCATATACTACTCTACAGATAGATAGATAGAGAGAGAGAGAGAGAGAGAGTTGTTTTTGGACCAAAGAATCCAAATATCTCATTCTTGGGAGAAAAAAGAGTCTTCAATTCGAGTTTTGAAGATAGGGTGTGGAGTGGTTTTGATTGCATTCATTTTTTATGTGGCTTATAAAACGATATGTCGTTTGCCAGCTTAAGGAGAATCGTCTGCTCTTCTTCTCTGGTGGTGGTGGTTTTGGTTATTTTCGTGTTGCAGATTTGGGTTTTCAGCGATTGCAATTGCAAGGCAGGAGCAATAAGGATATTTCCAGATGATAATGGCATCATGTCAACGTCGAAAGAGAGAAATATTACTTCAAATAGCTATAAGGCAAGCAAAGATGATCTTTTTCACAAGTTCAAGTTCTTTAATGGAAGACAACCTTCTTCATCTTCTAGTTTTAGCAGAACTGAAAAAGGATTTGAAGAGAACAAAAGAAGAGTACCCAGTTGCCCAGATCCTCTCCACAACTAAGTATATTTACTCAATTTCCATTTTTTAGTTTTTCTTTTAATTTTTTTTTATTTTTGTTGGAGTTGAATCTTGTCCAAAATACCCAGGTTTTTCTCATCATTTGGTGCTAGTATTTTGATTGATTTTTGTAATTCTGGAGGGGAAAAATGGGGGTATTTTGGTATTTTCGATTTTTGTATGAAGAAATATGAAAAATCCACCACGATCATGATGTGTATAAAAGAGAAGCAGAGAAATTTTGTTTTATAGTAAATTTACAATAGGAAGAGAGAGACGTTTCATTTTGTTGAATTGAATCCCTTTTACGTACAACTTTCTGTTTCCCCTTTTCTCTTCAGAGGAAAAAGTAGAAAAGAAAGAAGAAAGAACTGATATGATATGCAAAGAAATGTAATTACAGGGATCCATGTCCTTCTTCTCTTCAATAATACAAAAAGATTCTGTCTTGCCTCTTTTTATTTTTTGTTCTTCTTTATATCAATTAATTGTACAGTATATTTTTTTTGTGTAACAGTGTTAAAGGAAATATGGAAGCTACATTATTATTATTTAATCCTTGTAATTTGATAAATTTAATAAAATAAAAGGATTATTCGATTGATTTTTGAAAATATAAGTCTAAAATTACAAATTTTATTATACCTTAGGGTTAAGTAATAATTAACCTTTATTTTTTCAGTGTACAATGAGTCATAACTTTAAGGTGTCATGACGTGGCAGTTTATTCTTTCATGATTTGGTAAATTTCTTGTAGGATTAGAGTTTTGCTTTTAATTATGTTAAATCACTTTCATTATCTTAATTTCCTCAACCACTGTAATTTTACTGTACAAATCACATGCTCTCTTGTACTACGTAATTAATTTATCAGATTAAGATCAACTGACCTATTGATTAGAATTGGATTTATAAAATCCCATCACATGCAGTTTTGAGTAGATCTTATAAAGCTGATTTTGATGGAAAGATCAAATCCGTCCAATGTATTTACTTTTGCATGTGGCAGGCGTTGACTCCTGGCAATGTAACAGTTGAATGAGTTGATTATTTAGAAGTTACACTTCATTTCAAATTTCAATTATTTTTCTGGTAAACCGCCGTGTTTGGACTTTATTACTGAGATTCGTCAAGGGGTTTAGTCACAGTTAAAACTCTTTCTCTCTTCTTACTCTTTCTCTCTTCTTGCAAATTTGTTTAGTTAAAATCAAATCCGAAAGTTTTTTCAACATGTACAGCATGCGATACCAATTGAGATACCACCTGTAGGTTCAAATTTCGATTATTAATTGTACCTGAAAACCGGCTGAGGATAGGGCTAGTGACGAAAAGAGGAGTTAAAGTTAGAGGAGGCTAAACAAAATTTCCAAAGTTAACAGAGAAAATTTGAAAAAATTTACTATTTTAAAGGGTAAAATAAAAAAATTTCTATATTTTATAAAATAATTCCTTAAAAAAAATATTTTGTTAGGGGGGGCCAGATTGAGCTGGTCCATTTTGATTCAACTTGGTTTTTTACATATTTGATTTTATTATTATCGTGTTAATAGAAAAGTTCAAATCTTTTAATTTGGTTCGGTTTACATTAAATCTGAAAAATAGTGTAATGAATTTAGTTAATTCAATTCAATCAATTACCTAAATTAAGTCATAACCTAGTAGTAAGTGTATATACAGCCTAGTAATATATCTAAATTCGAATCTCACTTTCGAATATTTAAAAATAAAATAAAATTCAGTCAAATCTATGTGTTATGCTGGGTAAAGTAATTTAATTTGGACTAACAAGCAGAAGAATTAGCATAATTAAATTTATCTCCAAGCGAATTTTGTTGCCATCGTAAAAAAAAAAAAAATATCAACTTTAGTCCTTTTTTTTAAGGAATAGCTAAAGTAATTTTATAAAAAAAAAGGGAGATTTGCAAACGTAAGAATCATTTATATACATATATTTTATTCATAGAATCATGTATATTTTAACATCACAAAGATTTCATACATATAACAGATAAAAAAAGTAGCAGCAGTTAAAAGGTAGACGGACTTTTGTGTTTGTAAATTTGTATAATTTAGAAACTGGAAATGCATAGTATTTTATTTTGTTTTTGCTATTTCCTGTTAACTTTTTGTCCATTCTGGGAAATAAAAAGCATGTACAGACAAGTTATTATGGATCGCAGACAGTGGCAAAGCTAAAAGCAGGAAAGAAAAATATTATTATTTGCAAAAAAAAAAAAGGTAATAATAAACTTAAGAGGGGTAATTAAAATGTTTTTTAAAATAAAATAATAAAAAAATGCATGGTTTTGCACTATGCGTGAAGAAACAAAGAGAGGGTCTGGTCTCGTTTTCTGGTAATTTAGGGGAGCCATTGAGAAAGAAAGTGCAGAGAAACCAATGTGAGAAAGCGCCACGTATTATGCGGCGCAAGAAGTTAAAAAAGCTGCAAGTGATTTTGTAGCCGTGCTTTTTGTCTGCTTGCAATTTGGATTTGGAATCAAATCGACGTTTTCTTCTCTTTCTCATCAAGACAATTTAGCTCACCAATGCCATTTATTGCCTCTAAATTACTTATGTTCCCTACCTTATGCTAATATCACCTCCAACCATTAGAGATACTATATTACGTTTAGACCGTGTTTCCACAACAATTTAGAGAGGAAAGAAAATAGAGGAAAACTATAGAAGAAGTCTTTTTCTCTTAACGTTTGGATTTTTGAGAGAAAAATAAGGAAGCAAAAATAATTCTATAAATATTACTATTTATGTAAATAATACTTATCTCATTTGAAATTTCACTTTTTTTTTAAGAAAATTATTAAATTTATTTAAGTTATAATAAATTATTGAGTAAATTGGGGGTAAAGTTGTAATTTTAATAATTTTTGTCTAACTTTCCTTTTAAGTTGGAAAGAAAATGTGTGGCTTCCATAATTTTTTTTGTTCCTCCAATACCTTTTTTTATTCCCAAATAAGTGAAGGAAAAAAAAAAAACAATGGACACTAGTTTCCTTCTCAATTTTCTTTCCATCTATATTTTCCACCAATTCAAACATAACATAGTATTTTAATTTTAATTTTTTTTTTGTTATTTTGATAACTAAACGAAAAATACTATAACTTAAATATCCAAATTTTTTTAGAATTAAGTATCCAAATAGTCCCTACTATTACTTCTTCGTTGGCATCCGATTTGATCTAACGAGATGCCATGTGATCATGACACATGAATTTCGTGTAGCAATGCCAATTAAAATTCCCTCCTTATCCTTCATTTATTTAAGCCCCAGTTTCTGATAAAAATCAAAAGGATTAAATATTTTCGAGTCCTTAAATTATGACTAAATTAATATTTAAATCTCTCAATATTTGAGTAATTATTTTAAAAGACCTAAATAATTATGTGATTACACTGTGAGGTCCTTTCATTCAAATTTCTACCTCTTTTTTGTTTATACGGGCTAAAAAGCAAATATTAAATGGGGGTTAAATATTTTTGAATTCTTAAATCATGATCAAATTAATTCTTAGGTCTCTCAACGTTTTGAGTAATTATTTGCTTTTCAGCGATATGAAAGAAAAAAATTTAGGAATTTGGATGGAAGGACCTCACCATGTAACAACAACATTGTTTAGGTCTTTTAAAATAATTACTTAAACGTTGATGGATTTAAGTATTAATTTGCTCATAATTTAAGGATCCGAAAATATTCACCCAAATCAAAATTCACTTTCATAAAAACCAAAGCCAAAATCCGAACCTTTTGTAATCTTAAATCTTTTATTCATTTGTTTACATTGTTCCTAGGAATTTATAATAAGAAATTTTTTTCTCTTTTTCTCATCAACCAAACAAAGTACGAAAAACATTAAACACAAAGACAAACAAAACCCACGAAGCGAACTCACTTATTATGCCAAAAAAATGAAAAGAATTATATATTGTAAGAAGTAAATTTTGATTAGCATTATCACGTAGAATCAACGTGTCTTGATGATCTGGCATTCTATTAGGGGAAATAGGATGCCAGCAAAGTAATATAAGGTTCAATTTATTCTTATTCAAATTTTCAATTGTCCATCTCAGCAAGAAATGTTTAATTATAAATTTTGAAGAGTTAAGACACTCGAACTCGACTAATAGTGTTTTGTATTTAATGCTAAAACAGAAAAAATAAAAAATTCAAATAAAATTAACCCGATTCAACTTTTTATATTTTCAAACCTATGGAATTGAATTGAATTGAATCAGATGGTTGGGGTTGTGTGCAATCCTAGCATCAAGTGGACCAACGTGCCTTACATGGAAGGTACAATTTGGGTACATGTTTATCTATGTTATGAAGAGTGCACATGGGGCTGATGGGCCAACCTAAAGCCCTTACTCGACTTGTCAAATAAAAATTATTGATGGTTTTGTGTTGGACCTGAGTGTGTTAAATAATTGATGGGCCAACCACAAGCCTTATTAACTGTAGGATTCCTCATAATTGGTTTTAATTGTTAACATGTCATGTGCCAGAAATAATCTGCTTTAATGAATTTATTATTTTATTATCGAGGAAGGATGGGAAGCTAACTATACACTCCCAATTGGAAATTCATGAAAGTAATTCCTTCAACCCACCACCTTTTTTTTTTTTTTTTTAATTAACATGTCGATGTGCCCAGAAATCAATTGCTTAATGAACTTATTATTATTTATCGAGGCAAGGATGGAAGGCTTAATATACCTCCCAATTGGATAATTCCACGTGAAAGTAGAGTTCTTCTAACCCAACCACCTTTTTTTCTTTTTCTTTTTTTTTTTTTTTTTAACAATATATTTGGTGAATCGCAGTAAAATGTAATGTAATAGTGAACGGTGTATTATATTCCCTTTTGTTCTAAATATAAATAATTTTTTAGTGATTATTTTATTTTAAAATATAAATCGTTTTAAGTATTTTAAAAATTAATAAATAAAATATTTTTGATATTATCATTATTTATATTTAATATAA